GTTAATTTTTTTTTTTTTTTTTTTTTTTTTTAACAAGCCAAATGAAAAAAACTGTAGAACGCGGGGGGAAAATCACCTGAACGGTTAATAAAATAAATAAATAAAATAGAATAAAATAAAACAATAATTTAGTAAACAAATGAATGCATAAATGAACAAATGAATGAATAAAGTAATTACTTGCGCGCAAGGGGGGGCAGAACGGAAAAATGTTCAGAAATGTTTCCAAAGCAGCGTAAAATTTGGGGCCAAGAAGGAAATGAGAAAGTACATCAAACTCATATAAGCACAGCACAACGATGAAGATGCCCAAGGGCACATTTCCCCTGCGCAGGGAAAAGCGCTGCAACGATGTGGATGCACAAAGTTGTAGAACAAGGAAACGAGCGAGTTACATTCACAGGTGTTTGAACGTGCGAAAGTTGCAAAAATGTGGCGAGCTGAGAAAAATGGAAAATTACTGCTTGTACGTAAATTTGAAGGAATTGTTACAGAGAAGTTATTGCAAAGGGAAGGACAGCAATACAAATGGCAGTTGTCTCAAGGTCCCTGCACCACCTCGTGGAGAAATGGATGAAGAAAGGGAAAGAAGAAGCCCTTATCAGCGCTGCTGCAATTGCGCTAGCCATACCTTTGACAAGTGCTATATCACCGGTCTACACATTTTTGAAGGTATTTTTTTAACCGCCTGTTCAGATGGGATTGTGGGTATATTTGATAAAAATTTAAACAACATATTGAGCAGACGGGTAGCTACTTCGCCAATAAATAACATTTCAGTGAGCAAAAAGGAAAATGCTCTGTGCTTTGCTGACAGCTCTAACCATCTATATGTTGTACACCTAAATAGGAGGAACATGTGTAAAGGGTATCACTTTAACATAAGCAAAAGAGATAGCCATCTTGATGAAAGCGCTGCTTGTGCAAGTACACCATACCAAGGTGGCGATGAAATTTTGAACAGTGTTGAGGAAGACGAGAAGCACATATTTTTGAACCACAAAGACTACGCGCATTTAACAAAAAAAGAGAAAAACATTGTTCAGGCATTTTTGTATAATAACATATCGAGTTACCATGTGAAAAATTTAAACTGCTGCGTAATTAACCCCTACTTTCACCACCACCAGAGTAATAGCATTTGCGTTCTGACCGCAAATAAAATCGTGTCCCTTCTGAACATTTTTGAGTTTCATATAAACAACAGCGTTTTGTTTAGAGGGCAGAACATTTTAAGTTTACACTGGCACAGTTTGTATGTCTTTATCTGCACGGGTGCGTCCATTTTCGTGGTCAACTTTTTTGACAAAACGAAAATTGCTCATGTCGTTTTGGCTAACCTCGATATGATCGAAAAGGTCGAAGTCGGCCAAGCAGGCCGCTTAGGAGGAGAAAAAAACGTTAAACAGGACATGCCAGTGAATCATAACAGCGCGGACATGAACACATGTAGTGACCAAGTGGACGGTGTGACAAATGAACCCCAAATGATGTGCGCGCTGGAGTCGATTCACATATGCGAATTGGAGAAAGGGGAGTATACAATAGCCAGGGGCAAAAATGTGAAAATTGTAAAAATTGAAAAAAAAAATGGAATTGAAAAAATAAGCATTTCCAACGAGTTCGATGTGCACAATACAATTATTAGCATAAGCCCATATTATAACCACCACCTGAATGGATTCCCTGATAATGAAGTCTTCCTTTCGGTCATTACAGCCCTGGACGTTGAGCTATGCGATGGGGAGAATTATCGTACATGTACACACCTGGAACATATCATAGTGACGAGGGGCAACTACCTAATGTATAGAAATTGCCTTCACATTGGAGGTGCTGAAAAGGACACAATTAGGAAAGAGTACCTTGCAAACACACCATGCACACCTTATCCTGGTGGTAGTGCAAATGGAGAAGAAAGCAACACAAATAAGATGTTGCCCATTGACGAGACTACTTGCGACCGAGCGGAGAATTCCCACTTCATCAGTAACCCAGATGGAGGAGTCAGCCAAATAACGAACCTATTTCAGTACATGAAACTTACGCCCACTTGGGGGCAGGGGAAACGAAGTGGCGCCATCGAACGTTGCTTGTATATATATGGAGAAAATACCCTTTTGCAGTTTCGCTCCAAAACGGTGGCCGAGTTTTTTTTTGAGGTTATAAAAAAGAACGCAAAAAATGGAAGAAACATTTTGCTCCTACTTGATGTGCTGAAGAGGCAGCCAATCTGCAAAAAACAGTTAACTCAGATTGGACTATCCCTCATAAACGCTTTCATAGAACAGACGAATTATTTCATCGCGGCAAATGTGTTCATCCTGTTGTGTAACCATTTTTGCGACAAGTATCGGGTCATCTACAACGTCATGGAGATATTTTTCCTTCGACGCCATTTGCACATCCTGTCGTTGTTTTATCGAAAATTGAAAGAAGAGAGGACAGATCGGAAGAAAGGGATCGGCCATTCTTCCCTGCACGTGGTACGTGATAAAAAACGGCGCTTCATAACACGCAAGGGGAGCACAGGGGAAGAAAAAAAAATTAAAAGCGCTTTGTACATGCCTCACCTTTGTTATTTCAAAAATGGGAGAAAAAAAAAAAAAAAGAAAAGGGATAAAAAAGAACGCCTTCTTAATTACGAAGAGTGGAAGAAGAAGAAAAGGAAGAAAAGAAAACAAAACTTCCTCTTTTTTGCAACGAAAAAACTGTTTAACCAATTTTTGGTTTTTCTGTTACATACGGATGCTTACGAATTTCGAAAAGTTTACAAAATTTCATCCAAAGATGATTTGAATGCTGGCATGTTAGTGAAGCACATAGTGCATTTCCTCGAGGGCGATTTATCTGTTTTGAAGAAAAAATTTATTCGCTGCAGCGGCGTTGGCGGCAGCGACGGCAGTAGCGGAAGTTGCGGCAGAGGAAGAAACCACTGCGCAAATCACCATACCGATCGCAGCAGACGCAGCGCCCATGGCGTCACTCTAAAAGAAAAAAAAAAAAACAACGCCGAAAAAGGAATCCTTCTCGATATCCTGCTTGACATTTTTTTTAAATTTGACATTCCCCTTGATGCTGCCTCTTTTGCATTACTATGCAAGGATAGGGAAAAGGAACAGCAAAAAAAAAAAAAAAAAAAAAATGAACCCCATTGGAACAGCAACAACGGTGAAGTCATTACCAATAATGACAAAAGAGCAACAACACAGGAGGAGGATAAATTTGTGAAGAAGAACCTACCTGATGCATGCCTACAAGAAAGTAACAGAGGATGCACAAATAGGGAAAAAAATTTCTGCAGTTACAGGTACAAGGAGAAAAGCGCATGCGCCAGGGGCGAAGAGCAACTCGCGAACGAGGAGAGTCTCCATCGAAACGAACACCGCAGCGAGGGTGGCCTTATCCCGAGTTGCGACAAGTTGGCTCCGTTGCCCCACCAGCGTGATGGGAAGCATGAGGGTGACCAACGCGACGATGAAAAAGAAAACACGTACCTGAGGATGGAGATTAGGAGATATCACGCAGGCTGGGACAGCGATAGGAACGGTGGCATAAACGGCGTCATAAGCGGCGGCATAAACCGCGACACGAACGGCGACGTCAAATGCGGCAGCAACCGCGGCGGAAGTAGCAACGGAACTGATGAGGAGGCCCCCCGTGGGGGGGATGCCCCCCAAAGCGCAAGGCAGCCCAGGCAAAAGGAAAAACGAATGAAACGACGAAGTAGAGGTGTGGAAGGCCAAAACAGGCCAAGGCATAACTCAAATGGTACAAACACAACTAACACATTAACGCTGGGCAACCTGACCAATGATTACTTTTCCTGTGTGACGCACCGTCGTAGTACACCCCTCACGTTTGAAGACCTGGCACAGGATAGCTCGCCACAAAACTTGAGACACTTTGAACAAGAATTTGACAATGTGAAAAAAATGGAAATTATAAAAATGCTCATTCGAAAGAAAAACAAAAATGTGTTTGCCTACTTGAAGCAATGCACATGGCAAATACTTAAAAAAATAACACAAAGATTTGTATTAAAATTATTTCGTTTGAGCAGAGTAAAAACGGCAAAGCTGTTAGTGATCGTGAAGGTGAAGGAGAAAAACAAGTACAGATATTTCTTCAACCCAAAAGATGTAATAAGAAGGTTAAAGGAGAGACCCTTCTTTGTGTACACCTATTTGAAGCATGTAAAAAATGTGAAATATTTGAGCAGGTACATTGACCTTTTTCTTTTTTTGATGTTTGTTTTTGAGCCGCTTCTGTTGGTCAGCTTTCTGTACAAGCATTACAGGTGCGTCAGCTTCAAGCGCGTCCTCTTCTTTATATGCTTCTTCGATCGGTTACACGTGGGGGAGGAAGTCACGCCCCTTGATGGAGACGTCACCAATGAAAATGTCACAGCAGTTCAGGAGGAACTCACCAATGAAGAAGTCTCGCCCGTTGAAGAGGCGGTCACCCATGAAAACGTAACACAGGTTCAGGAGGAAATCGCGCATGACAACGTCACGCCGGTTCATGAGGAAGTCACCCATGAAAACATCACACAGGTTCAGGAGGAAATCACGAATGAAAACGGCACGCCCCTTGCAGAGGCGGTCACCCATGAAAACGTCACACCGGCTCAGGAGGAGATTACGCATGAAAAAGTCACTCCCGTTGATGGGGACGTCACGAAGGAAAACGTCACACCGGTTCAGGAGCAGGTCAGCAACGAAAACGTCTCGCCCGTTGATGGAGAGGTCGCAAACGAAAACGTCGCGCCCGATGAGGAAACGCCCCCTCGTTTGAGGCCCCCCAGGTCCAAAAGCAGCCTCTTCCAAAACGAACGAGTTACGCTGCTGTACAGATATCTGCTAGACGAGCAAGTCGAGAAGGAGAAGCTGGAAGAATTGTTCAACTACATAAAGCAACCTTCAAAAAAGCGACCCAGAGGAGGAGCAAACTTTTTTTTAAGCGTCAAGGCATTTATGTATGAAAAATTTGGGTACATAAATAAGGCGCTAACAATTTATAAGCAGTTAAGCAACTACAATGAAATGATTTACCTTGTGAAAGTTCACAACCTGTTAATTGATGATGCTGTGATGAAAAAGGCAGAAGATAATTTAGCTTCCCTCAATGGTGTCTCTTTTTTGAGTGGTGTGGATAGGAGGTTCCTACATGGAAGGCACGTTGGTATTGCCTCAGCTGGTGGGGAGCAAAGAAGGTTTCGCTTGAGAAGCGGGAGGAAGAAAACGAACAAAGGGGAGGAAGATGCACATAGTGTGTTTACATCCAACGGTGGTGATGATCGTGATGATGGTGATGCGGTGGGGGTGGGCCACCCGCCTCAGACGGCACCTATGCAGACGGAGACGAACAGCCACTGTCCGATTGGCGCAATTGACCAGGTCGACCAGATCGGCAAGTATGTACACAGCAACGCCCACTTCGCCACCCTGGACAGAGAAATTATGCTCAGTTTGTACACCGAGGTGGAGGGGAAAGGAAGGCGAAAGGGTCATACTACATGTCGGAAGGGCAAAAGGAAAAGTAACCGAATGAAAGAGCACCACTGTTGCAGTGGAGGCATCTCTCCTCCAAGTACAACCCGTAAAGAAATTATCTTAAAGAAGTACCTGATGGATAACTCATCCCGAGAAATGCATTACGTAACCCTAATGTGTATCCTGCAGGAACTCTTCTACGTAAATGAGCTCAGTGAAAATTATAACAAAATTTTAATGCGGTGCAAAGAGAACATATACAACAGTTTTAACGAAATAAAAAAAAAAGGATACGTGATATACAATGGAGTTATAAAAAAAGAAATGAAAAATAATAATTTATATTTATTGGACATAAATGATTATTACTTCATTAATGATAAGGTGCAAGACAAGCGTTCCAACGAGTGCGATATGATCATGCCCTACATGGATGAGCAGCATGGACTGTTGGAGAGAAGTGGGGGGACGACAGACAAGGAAGAACAAGAGCTACCGTTACACATTCAAAAGGAGGTCCCATCGAATTATTTCTTTTATGAGCAGATCCATGAAAAATCCTATGTCTCCATCTTGTCCTCTTTTTGTAGCTTCTGCCATCACAATATCTACCGCGATTTGTGTGCTTTTGATGGGAGACGCAGATACAGACGTGACACCGTTGTCTTTTTTTTTTGTAATCACCTGTATCATTTGAAGTGTCTTAGGGAGCGGCGGTTCGCTTGCTTGGCGTGTCACGACTAGGGTAGGGTGTGATGAGTCGTGGTGTCAGCGGTGGGTGCAGCTGCACCGACCATTCTCGTGCGCAATATATTCTCTTTCCCGGTCACATCCAAAATGGGGTACCTTCTCCCATGTGGGGAGAAAGAGTGACATCCTGATGGAAGTGACACGGGGCCACGCTTCTTCTTCTTCTTTCTCTCTCTTTTTTTTTGCAACTTTGTCATCTACCCTAATTTTTTTTTTATCTTTTCCTGATCCCTATGTACCTTTCCCACTCGTATCATTAGTTTAGGGTTCAGGGGTTAACTGCTACTCTGGGGCACCAATGGTGCTTTCTCGTCCCAGACGGGGACATGTTTTGTGCGTTCCTTTGTTACCCCACATAGAGTAGCTCCGTATGATTACACCCATAGGAGTGTCTTTTCCTTTTAATCTGCGTTATTTTGTTGGACTGCTTTGTGTTATTATTTTTTTATAATTTTTTTTTTTTTTTTTTTTTTCTGTCTATGTCACCTTTTTCTCTCTTTACCCTTGCTTAAAAAGTATAACTCCCAAATTGACTTCTTTGATTTTCTTTTGCTATTTTGAATTTTCCTTTTTTTTAAAATGGGGAGGTGGCTCGCTGTCTGTCTCAAGGTGTGGCCGCGCCCTACTGTGATGTACTGCTAGGTACCGCTAGGTACTGCGAGATGTGCTTGACAGATAACTCAATGGGGATCGAACAAACGCGTGCGCTTCAAACAAAAATACTATGCTCCCACGGCTGCCTTATTTATTATTTTTTTTTGTTTTCACTTGTCGTATTTTTCCTTTACGAAATCGAAGATTACGTCTGCATCTTGAATGGAGGCTACTTCGACGTCTTTTTTTTCTCCTGCACATGGGATTGGGGGTGAGTCATTTGGTTAGCCATTCGGTTAACCATTCGGTTAGCCGTTCGGTTAGCGGTGCAGTTTGCCCTCCCCTTCGCGTGCTATTGGGCGGGCGCGCCTCGGTTCATACCTGCGTCCATCTTGATGACGTCAAAGTGGTAGTCGAAGCCGTCGTGGTTTATACAGATGGTGCTGTTTTTTGTCAGGCAAGAGTAGTACCGCAGTTTCTCCTCCAGGGTTTTCTATTTCGGGGGTGGACAGTAACGGTGAAGAAAAGACATTATTATTAGGACGACTCCTATGTTGAAGTGATAAGAGAAGACGCGATGCAAGAATACACATGCGAGTAACGAATACGCGAACGAAAATTTTTTTTTTTTTTTTTTTTTTTTTTTTTTGTGACGTGGCGCCCCCTTTGCCTACTTCACTCCATTTCAATTTGTTTTTTGCCCACCTTTGGTTCACTTAAATTGAAAAATTTCTTATGGTGTGGTTGTAGGACAACGCTGGACGCAGTCTCCAGTTTGGCGAATCGGATCCGCACGACATCGAAGCAGCTGCAGGTGGGAAAGAACCACGGATGTGTAATTCTCAAATTAGGAAGCCCATTTTTTTCTCCCACTTTATGAGGGCATCCCTTTTTTACCTACCTCAGCTGCAGTGTTTGCATGATCCACGTGGGCAAAAAAATGAAATTTTTGTTGGCCTTGAAATCTAATACGTTTATAAATACTCTGTCTAACTCTGCAGTTGGGTAGAGAAAAGGGGTTTCAGGAGTGGGGGGAAGACATCATATGGAGTACCATTCCAGGGTTGTACTCTCCGCAAAAACAAACACGTAGTGGAGGATATGCCCTTTCGAGTAGAAACAAACCCCCCAGCGCTCCTACACAACTCACTGTTAATATTTGGGTACGTGGAGACAGCATTCGTATCGGACATGTGCACATTTTTGTAAAATGGGGTTTTTTTAATGTCCACTTTTTCAATGACGAAATTCCAGGGCACCTCGATGTGCTTGTTGAGGAGCTACGCAGAAGAGGAGGGGATTGGTGATTGGGCAAGTGCGTTTGGGATGATCTTTTTTGGGGCCCATTTGCATAAGGGGACCGCCCCCTGCGCGAGCGCGCTCTGCGACTTCCTTACAATGTCATATATGAACACAGGGAGGGACGCCTTGTCGCTGTACTGGATATTGTTGTGGCAAAAGGTACCTGTGACGTTGGGCGGGGTGCGCGGCGAAAATGAGATTGGTCAAGAGAGCGGTGCACAGCAATGTCTTGCTTCTTTTCCCTTGGACGCGTACATTACACATATATGGAATGTGCCAATGACCCCGTTACAAGAGAATCAACGCTTCTACTTGTACAAACGACGGACTCACCGACGAAGGGGTTGAACTTATCACTTAGGGGTAAGGCGATTAAATAAAATTCGTTTTTCTCGTTCCGCAGGTTTAGGTTGTTTATGTCGTTTACGTAGGTGAGCAGCTGCGCGTTGGGGGGGTTAAGCGGCGGTGAAGGCAGCGCTGTGGTGAAGACAAGGCTGTGATGAAGGCAGCGCTCTGAATCCGCGCAAAAGAGCGCACTCACCTTCGTTTTGTAAATCGCCTTCACGGTGTAGTTTTTAATTTTTGTAAAAATGTTCATGTGTGGTTTTATGTGACGCAAGCTTCTCCTGCCCACCGGGGTAGGGCCGCCCATCTGCGGGGTGTGCTTCGAGTAAGTGCAGGTAACTGAAGTGTGAAGCGAGAACAAAAAAGGGAGGGAAGCATTCAAGAATGTTTTACTTCCATAGATAGGGGATGGTGAGGCAGCTTTATTGAATTGACACACATTTGGGTGTCCGCGAGGGAAGGGCTCTATTTGTCCTACCCACCAATTGATCTGCCCATTTGTTTGGCGGCTTTTTTTTTTTTTTTTTTTTTTTTTTTTTTCCTTTCTAGCCACTATTGCGTTCGAATGTGCGGTGGAAAAAAAGTGGAAAAGAGCCACCGGGGAAAATGGCTTCAAAGAGGGGGAACCCATAAAATGATGGCACGGCAACTTTCACCCGAATAAAAAAAAAAAGAAAAATGAGAAATACACCAAAGGGATGGGCGCGATCTTCCATATGATTAGGTAAGATGTATCGAAATTGACCCTACATGACATACTGTTCCCGCGCAAGAGCGGTTACACGTTTGGAGAATCACCCTACCGTCAAACCCCACTTCCTGCTCATTACTCACTGTGGGACTGTTCGTTGAACAAACTGGTATAGCAAGATGCAAAAAAGGGAGACTTAAAGGGGGGAAGGGGGCTGCTCCCTTTTTATCCCTTCTCCTTTTAACACGGATTGTATCGTTTTTTGCGGAAGACAAAGTGAGCCATGTCCCCAAGGGGTACAGACATTTTAATTACCCAATTCATTCGCACAGTTAAAAAAAAAATGTAGCAAAGGGTACCAAAAAAAGAAAAAAAAAAAAAAAAGTGGGTAGCGAAAAACGAACACGGTTGCCTTTTACAAGAGGCACACTTAATTTTACGTGAATGTGCAGAATTGTTCTCTCCCGGTAGGATGAACACAAAAAACGGGGGGCGGCAGAAAGCTACACAAGATTTTTCGCATAACCCCCATAATAGCAGCAGACGGCATACCTTTACATATGTACACATAACGTATGTGTGAACGCATGTCTGGGGATACTGATCTGAGTCACCCCTAGACATGCCCCCTAACCACCCACCTGTTACCACCAAGTGGATCACCACGTTGGGACTGTGCACCATCAGACTACTTCTACCCCCCCCACGCACACATTCACAAAGACGTGGAGATGGTATGCTCCGCATTAGGAACATGTAAAAATTAAAGTTGTGATTATCTGTCCCTTGACGCCCCCAAAAGTTATTGTTTCGTAAAATATTTCATCAAACAGGGTCAACTGAAATTTTCCATTGGTCTGATTAAAATGGTTCACGATAGAGAGTAACTCCTCCTTGCAAGCATTACACGACGTGAGGCAAAAGAGGGTTTCCACTTGAAAAAAAAAAGATACATGTGTGAAATATTCTTGCCCCTTATCATTCATAAAAAATATATCGAATGTTCCTTTGTCGTTTATCAATTTGTATTTTTTCTTCAGTTTTGAATCAGGTCCCACTTCTTGTGCGATATTGTAAATGTCTAGCACTTGCACGTAGACGTCTGTGGGATTTTCTGCACGGTTCATACAGCTATCCGCAGCGCTTTTCTCGTCTCCTATCTCATCTCCATCCGCGCCGCGTCCCCCGAAGAGCTTCTTAGCCAACTCAATGGCGCTCGCGGAAAAATCAAAGCCGCATAAATTGGGGAAGCCTCTTTCGCGCAGTTTGTACAGGAAGAGCCCATTTCCACACCCGATGTCAAGAATAGCCACTTGCTCTTTTTTCTCTTCTTCACTAAAGTGTTTGCTCACCCAGTTTATAATTTTGTCACAGTTTTCTTCGAACCATTCCTCTGGTTGGATGTTCGCCTCTTCGTAATTTTCCTTCTCGCCTTGATACACTTCCTCCCAGTAGCTTAGTTTGTGCAACTCGGACGGTGCCATTGGCTTCGTCAAAGCAGTGTGTGTGAAGGGGGGGGGAAAGGAGCTGTGCCAGCTTGTGTACATACAACCTCGTTCTGTACCCTCGCCCGATGGTCGATTTGTCAAGCGGGTCACACAACACTACAGCGCCAGGCGTTCTAGGGATAATTCTACGCAGGGTTGGCACAAAAAAAAATGGGGGCATCCAGTATAGCCTTAACTTTGAACCTCTCCCTCAATCGTGCAATAGCATCGTTTTTTTTGAGGCTTTTTTTTTTTTTTTTTTTTTTTTTTTTTTTTTTTTTTTTTTTTTTTTTTTTTTTGGAGATGTCACTTGATGGGCCATTTTTTGTGTTCGAAGCAAGTTGGCATAAAAGCATACCTGACAGGAGTGGGACACCCTAATGCCATTTTTGTTTATTTTTTTTCGCTGGCAATATTATACTATTTACAATTTTAATTTGCTGTTAATTTTTGCCACGACTAGGTTGCTTGGCCCAAGTTGAGACCTGTCAGGTATACAAACAATGCGCATTCCTTTTTTTTGTTTATTTTTTTTTTTTTTAGATACTGAGAGGACTCACCTCTGTGCCCGCGTACACACAGTTCAACCCCCCCCATTGTAACGAACATTTCGTATAGTTGCTCTCTTTAAATGGGTTCAACTTGGGGTGCCCTCCCCTATTGGATAATGGATGTGCAGGCCAATAATGCAAAGGAACAAAAAAACATAAATGAAATGTCAGTAGGCATATACTTCTAGTACGTGATGCGTCCTACATGGGTGACACAGTCTGTAGGGTGATTCACCCCAATGAGATGTTATGCAATGAGAGCTGCGCACTCGCTGGTGGTGGTGATGGGTAGCTTAGACAAAAAGTGATGAGTATTGTCCTCCCTCCTATCTGGCACCTTTTTGCCTTGTCTGAACAATTGATATGTCCCAAAAGAAAATAACAAATCGTATTACGTCTGTTCGGTCCGCTGCTGTCACATGCGGATCGACCAGTTTTCGCAAAAGGTGATCCACCACTTCTTTTTTGGCGTGGAAACCAAACGGAACAGAAGGTTATGATTATATTTTTTTTTTTTTTTTTTTTTTTGTTGTACTTTTTAATATATGATCAAATTGGGTGAGTTATGCTTATATATATATATATAAGAAAAAAAAAAAAAAAAAAGTTATTTCCACAAATGATGTTATTATGATTTGTGAACACGTAAGCCTATTTATGCGGATACGTGTGACACTTGCAATGATGTAAGCAAATGAGAAGACAAATTTACACAAACATCAACATAAACGATACGCAACGTGCACAGTAACACCTATGCACGCAGCGCATGTGAGTTGTGAGTGTGAATGTGGGTGAGGGTGTGTGTGGATGTGGTTGCACACAAGCGCAACCATATGTATATGTATTGGTATATATATGTATATGTATAGGTATATATATGTATATGTAGGTGTATGTAGGTATATATATAAATACATAGTAGGGGGTACACACTTATGCAGAGGTACATGCCAGGTTGTTCCCGCAGACATGCCATTTTAATTTACACAATCAAAGGGTGAGAAGCATGAAAGCAATTTTTTCTTTTTTAATAACACTATTCATTATACGTATGCATGTATGAATGTGGAGACTATATACAAAATACGCGCGCACGTACATAAGCATATAAGGCCCATACAACATGTATACAAGCGCGTGGAGAAGTAAGTAACGGGGGCGCATCTATGCTCATAACTATATGTTATATATATATATATATATTTATTTACATCTATATTTACATTTATATCTATATGTATACCCAGGCAAGCTTTAAAAAAAAAAAAAACAAAAGCCGTATTATATATACTTGTGTACAGCGCACAGTTATGCATATACAATCATACACATTGATACAGCCATTTCATATATGGCAAATAATATTACAAAAAAAAGAAAAAAAAAAAAAAAAAAAAAAAAAAAAAAAAAAAAAAAAAAAA